ATTTCTCATTCACTCACAGTCATTCACTCACTCATCTATGCAGGGATTCACTCCCTGATCTGTTCGCTCACTCATTCCCTCGTTCACATATTCAATCACTGACTCCATGTCCCATTGCCAGTCGCTAGAGAACACTGTAAGACGTGGGTCCCACGTCCCCAGAGGATGGCCGCGTCCAGGGAATCCAGGCCCTGAGGAGGACCCAGAGGAGAGGTCAGTGTGCGTCCCTGGAGAAGCCAAGCCACCTAGGGATGAGGGCATCCTGGTGGCAGGGACCTCAGAGCACACAGACAGGCAGGGTTTCGACACCTGCCCCTGTCCCCCTTGGGGGAGGGGCGGGACCTTACCAGTGTTCATCAAGTGGACTCCAATTCACTACAGCCCCGAGGGGGAGGGGGAGGGCTGTGGCCTTCCAGAAGCACCTGCCCTCTGAGTGGTTCCTGGGTGGACTTGAGTCCGCGCCTGGCCAGTGGGGTGGGGTGACCTATCAGCAGGGACCTCCTGTGAGGTTTCTCAGGGGGGGGAAGACCTCGGTTCTTGGCTTCGCAGGAGAAAGAATTCACGTCGAAGCCTGGTTTGTGATCCAAGTGCGTGTTTATAAAAGGACGGAAGAGGTTTCAGCATATACAGTCACTGAACACGAGCAACTCGGGAACTGTACACAACTCGGGAACTGTACACGTGGTTGTGGGGGGAGGTCAGATGCTTACATCCCTGAAGGCAATGCTGCCAGACTGCTGTCTCACCCCACCATAGGGGTGGGCCTGCTCCCTGCTGCTGGGGACAATGGACTATTTCTCCCTGAAGCTTGCGACCATTAGCTTGGTTCCTGTAGATGGAGTTCACACCAGTCTCTATCAGTTGAGCCAGGGAACAGGTCAAACTGGCTCTGTGACATCCAAAGTTAGGCTGCTATCCTGTACCTAGGATCCGCCCATCTTGCCACATGTATACCCCCAATCTCTCCTCTTCCTATTGCGTGGATACCCCTGGATCACCCCTCCCATTACTGTATTACCTATAGCACACCCCCTTCCCATGATGTATGTCTTCCCCTGTAATTAGGGGGCTTGCATGTCCCCAGAGAAGATAAAAGCCTTGGGTAGCAAGTGGGGCTGAGGTGAGCACGCTACCATGAATTGTGTCTGACTCCATTTATTTCCATATTTCTCTTCTACCTCTCACGCTCTCTAGAACTTCACCATAATCTTTACTTATTATCGCTGTACAATTGCGCCTACCGGACCTGTAATGATGTGTTAGGGGCTGGCTTCCCCTGGCACGTGGTGGCCTGAGACCACAGAGAGCCACCTGGGCACCGCCCAGCGGAAGGCGGGGAAGCAGCCAGCAGCCAAAGGGAAGGATGGGCTTGAGGTCCCTATATGGGGTGGGGGCGGGTCTTCGGCTGGGAGGCGTGGTCAAAGGTATTGGTTGACCCCATTGGCCGAATTAAGCCCACCTGGCTTAGTTTGGGCCCACCCAGGTGTACCGCCCACCTGGCTGGGGCTTGAATTGGCGCATGCCGCTTCGACATCCCTGCTCCCTGTTCTGCTACCTAACACACCTACTCCGACACAGAAGCATCTGGGTTCCCCAGTGACATGAAAGTGGGAGGGGGTCCTGAGACCCCCCAAGAGCTGCAGCTCCCCCGTTCTGATGGGGGTCTCTCAGCTCCCCTGAGTACAGACCCAGATCGGCATCAGCGACCCCCACACACACCCCACTTCCCACGTGCGCACGTCCGCCCTCACCCCAGACTGCAGGCTGTGGCCGCTCCCACGACGCTGACATTGTGCTGGCTGATCCCTGGCGATCGCAGCAAGGCCGTCTTGTGACACCCCATGGCTCTGGGCCTCTTGCCCACCTTGGCCCTAAGCCCCTTGGAAAGGGAAGTCCCCCGCTGGGCTGGCTGTCTCCAAGACCGGGTGTGGGGAGGGGGGAAGGGAGGTGAGCAGCCCCGTCCGGCATCACGAGGGCAGTCTTAATGTCAGGGTCAGGCCAGGGGACACACCGGGCGGGGTATTTTTAGGATGACAGTGGTTCAGCCCTAATCTGTGCCCTGGGCTCTCAGGGCAAGAGGGAGGCGGGGGAGGGAGAGATAGAGGGAGGAAGGAGGGGCGCCGCTGAGGGCGGAGGGAAGGGAGAGAAGGGAGATAGTAATGGGGGAAGCAGGGGGCAGGGGAGGGAGACGACGCAGCCAGGGTGACATGGGGGAGGGGGGCACTCCCCACCACAGCCCTGCCCAGCTGGCCATGACTAATTTAGGCAAAAGGCAAAGGTGCTATTTCCATCCAAGGAACAGGTGCGGGGGTGGGGTGGGGGGTGTGTGTGACCCACCCGCCACCTCCAGGGCCTATAAAGGTGCTGAGTTTTCTCAATGAAGTCGGGGTGCCCAGAACGTACTACGGGGTCGAGCCATCCAGGGCTCCTGCAAGTCCGGGCGCCCACAGGCCACTGAGCACCATCCCGCCGTCCACATCCACCCACTCAGCGCGGAGATGAAGGTCATCATCGGCGTCGGAGGGTGAGTCCCGCACCCCAAATTAAAGGCCTGTTTTGTACTGGAGGCGACAAATGGCCCAAGTCAAGATCTAGAATTGATGGACTGGGGTGGGGGTGGAGGGGTGGGAGGCGCGTTTGGAACTTGCTCTTTTCAGCTTATTAAGCAGTGTTGGTGCAGTGTGCTAGGGTAGGGCTGGAAGGTCGTTGGTTCAAGTCCACAAGCCGCTCCGCTCGAGAGAAAGGAGGCTGTCAGTTCCCATAAAGAGTGACAATCTCATAAGCCCACAGAGGCAGGCCCCCCCTGTCCTATGGGGTCACTATGAGTCAGAAGCAACTGGATGGTAGTGGATTTTTTTTTTCCTGCTTATAATAAGCAGGAGTTGGAAGGTGGGAGAGGAGCCCTGTGGGGGTCATCAGATAACCTCAAGGTCAACAGTTAGAACCCGCCAGTCACTGCACGGGAGAAAGAAAGGTCCCGGATGAGCTGGGTGGACACAGCAGCTGCAACCGTGGGCTCAAACATGACAATTGAGAAGCTGGCGTGGGATGGGGCGGGTTTTAGTCTCATGGGCAGAGGGTGGCTAATGAGTGGGAAGCCATCCCGTGGGACCTAACCACAAAGAGTCACCGTCTCGGAACCCAGGGGGCAGTGCTGCCCTGTCCATAGGGTCACTGTGAGTCAGAACGGACTCAAGGCAGTGTGTTTTTGAGTTCGTGAGATGGTGTGGGGGACACCCCCTTAGTGTGTGCAGCGTCTTAGCTAGGGAGTTGGGGGGGGGTTGCCCAGGGTTGAGAGCTCAACTGCTAACAGAAAGGTCGGTGGTCCCTACTCCCCCAGAGACACCGCACAACCAAGCCTAGCCATCTGCTTCCAAAAGGCCCCAGCCTGGGAAAACCCCCAGAGCACAGTTCTACACGCTTATGTGGGACAACAGAGGTCAGAGGTGACTGGACAGCAAAGGGTGGGAGGAGTCCTGGGCGGGAGGGGCCCTTGTCACTTGTGCCCCTGATTCCTAGAAGAGGGGCCATTGGGTCAAAATGATAAGATTCTCTTTAAAAAAGCTAAACTCGCTGTCATTGAGTGATACTGACTCACAGCAACCTTCCAGGATGGGGTAGGCCTGCCCCTGGGGGTTTCCAAGACTATAAGGTTTTTGTTTTATTTTTTGAGACCGGCTCTTTCAGGGGTAGACAGCCTCCTCTTTCTCCGTGGTGGTTCGAACTGCTGACCTTTTGGTTGCCAGCCCAACACAGCCCACTTAGCCTCTAGGACCCCTGTTCCCTTTCAACTCCCTGCAAACTATAGCCGGGTTGCCTGTCAGGAACTCTGTCCTTCCTCACCATTCTTTGGTCTCTTTATCAGAAGGGACAGCCCAGCACCTAGGTTTGTCTGGGAGGTAGGGTTTCTAGACAGCCCGAGCCCATGGGAGCCCAGGTGGGCACCCACCTGGGCCACCGGCTAGCTAGAGTTTTTGTTTGTTTGTTTTTCCTTTTTCTCTATGTTTTTGGTTGCAAATGAGCTTGAACATGCTGTGTTTTCGTTTTCCATGTGTGTTTTGATGGCGGGGACACACGTGCCACGTGTAACAAAGGTTGTACATCTTTTGTGTCGGTGCCTTTGTGGTTGGTTTGATTCACGCGGGGGCCATCCTGCTGTCCTGCTGAGGGTGGGCATCGTTCACACATCCATCTCCCCTTTACAGTGAGGGAGCCAACTGTGAGCTCTCTCTGTGGCACGTAGGCACACACTTCTTCCAGTTGGCTTAAAATTGGGGAGGCCTTCTTTGTTGTGTGTTAGGCCCTAAAATCGTGTCTTCGTGAAGCCCTAAAAATCCAACTCTAATTTATCTGT